GCTTTTAAAAACCTCTTACTTTGACTGTAACTTACCCAATTTCAGTTTGAAGATAGCATGGCTGAATGGACTTTGAATGAAGACTATGTTGAAAGCGAGTAAGTTTTTTTTTCCAGATATTGCGTCTCACGAAATTTAAAGTTTCTTTCTGACTTATGCGGTTACTTCTCATTAGGCAACTTTTACTTTACATGAGTACAACATATCGTATTGTACCAAATTTGCATCTTTTAAAAATTTTAGCTGTTTTATTTGTCTCTGCATTTCCCTATATTTCTTACAGCTTGTTATTTCAGTAACAACAGTTTGGAAAAGTAAGTCGCTACATTAAAAGCATGTTGTAGAGTCTGTCTGTGCATTGGCTTGCTAAAAAAGTTTCTTCTTCGTTGTACAGTTTGTTGTGTTTTGGCGTTTCGGTTTGACTTTCCCCCTTTTACTCTAGTACTAAATTTAGGGGTTCGGTGAAAGCGAGAGCTATGAAAAAACGAGCAAAGAAAATTAAAAGATATGCTTTAATTGGTGCTGCTAGCGGAATCGGTGGAGTCTTAATTGGTGAGAACGTTATTCGAAGATGATCCTCTAGATTTAGGTAGTACAAATTAAATCTGGCTTTTCACTTGCGGCAAATCATTTTAACAAATTTTTGTAGTAGTGTACTAAAAAACATTTTTTTCGTTTTGATTTGCCGGCATCTAGCTTTTCAATTTTATTCCCTCGCTTTCATTTTACTTGAGTCACACGTAATGGTGTTTAATTAGTAGCAGTGTTGTCTTTTACTTCGCTTATTTAACTTTTCTGAAGTATTTTCTTCATATAAATTCTTTTATTAAGACTAATTTTTCAGGACTAACGGGAGGCTTGGCTGCTCCACTTGTGGCAGCTGGTGCTGGCGTTATCATTGGGACAGGAGCTGCGGCTGGAATAGCTACAACTGCAGGCGCCGCAACTCTGGGTTCTTTATTTGGGGTTGCAGGTGCAGGTCTTGCAGGTAATCGCTTAAATTTTTTTTTGCCTAATGATTACTTTTGCGTGATATTGATAAAGTTTGCATAACGTTTTAATTTCAATTTTATGGTGTTCTTTTATTGTTAATGTTGCTACCACTTAACTTCTAATCTTTCTTCAAGAACTATTTAAAATACTTTGGAGTGGATGATGCTTCTTGTAGGTTATAAAATGAAAAAACGTATTGGTGCCATTGAAGAATTCACGATTGAAACCTTGACAGAAGGGCAGAGCTTACACTGCGTTTTGGTCGTTAGTGGTTGGATTGAGCACGTATGTTACTTGATAATTCAACCTTTAAATTTATATTTATGTCAAGAACTTTCTGTCTAAAATGTGAAACGCCTCTTCACTGCCTCGAATGTGTATGTTTTTATGTATTTTTTAGAAGATAAGATATTCAGTCGCAAATAGAAGGTTCATTCATTTTACATTATTTAGGAATTTTAGAAGAGGGGTAATAAAAATTGAGAATGGAAGAGTGCCAAAGAATTGTCTAATTAACTGGAGAAGAGTGCATGGTTTTTAGTGACTTTGTTGATATTACAACTAATTTTATCTTACTGTTTGTAAGATCACTTGCAGTGTGTCTAATGCACTCTTTTATACTTAGTTAGTATTCAAATGTCATTTCGACTTTAAAAAAGTTCTTCAAAAACCGTTTACTACGAAGGTTTTGGCGATTATAGTTGTCGGAAGCAACGCGCATTTGATATTGTCCATTCTGTTGTTCTGCTGTTGTTGTGCTGCGCTTGTTTAATCCATCTTTTTCTTTTGATGAATGGTATCCGAAAGAGCGATTCTCAGAGCTCTTCAAGGTAGAGCTGGCTTGGTGTTGAAAAGAGTCAGTTTGGCAAATGGTAGAGTTGAGAAGTGGTGATGGTTTTGCTAAAAAGTTAATATCGGTATCGGGTTAATACCGCTTTATCGAAGCTAACAAAGGGAGTATTTAAATTTTTTGTCTATTATTCAAAACACTGTTGTCAGGCGATGAATCGGAGTTAGAGTAATGAGGTAAAATTTCTTAAGACATACAAAGCTGATGGTCATCGTTTGCAACTTTAAGAGGCAAGAAGATTAAGAAATTGCCTTCTTTTCGTTGGTTGCGGGTTGGCCCCATTCTAAGTAAATGGTTCTGCTTCATACGACAGGTTACGTTAGCGTAAACAGGGCAAGTTTATGTTCTTAGGTTGTTTTGAGATAATCTGTCGTTATTACTTTTTGTTTTATGAAAGCTTGCTATTAAACCGTGTTTTTGTCAACTCATGTAAACACTGTAAAGCCTCAAGTTGTGTGTAGCATTAGTGCGTGTAAGTTTTCTTCGTCAAACCACTCGTGATGATTTAGTATTCAAGTTGTCTTTTTTAAAGGTGAATGGAGGTAATATGGGTGGGTTGAAAAGGATAGATGGTACTCCTTGAGTAAATGAAATAATAATTTCAAATAAAAAAACATACGTAAGAGGTTTAAAAAATATCTGGAAAACAGTTTACCACTTTCTCAAACAGCATATTTTTAGTAAAAAATTTTGAAATGTGTTAACGAGTATTTCTGCGATTTCTGCAGAGGCCGGTTATTAAGAGCCGGAAACTTTCATTTTGAATTAGTAATTTCAATAGCTCAGGAGTTAGTTTAGAAAAAAACAATTCAATTTTATAAATTTCATTGATTAGAGATGGTTTCTCCGCTATCCTTCTGTTTTCAGAGTGGTGAAGATGCTTTCCAATATCAGTGGAGGCGCTTAGCTATGTCAAGGGAACAGTATACATTACGGTACGAAAGTAAGTATTTGGTGGAGCTAGGAAGAGCGATCGACTATTTCATGTCTATTGCAGTTTCAGTAGCAGTACAGAAAACGCTGATGGAAACAGCACTTGCAGGTGTCATATTTTTTCTTTTTACTTCTTTTGCTCCTTAAAAATCCAGTTACATTGGAAACCAGCTTTTTACTTGTTACTTGTTGTAAAAAGCTGGTTTCTAATGTAACTGGATTTTTTAAAGAATTTATGATATTGGAAGCTTTTTTTGGCATTTTTTTCTTCATCTGTTTGTTAAATAATTCTTTTTAAGGTTTACTCACAGCCATCGCCTGGCCTGTTGCCATACTCTCCGCTGCAAGTGTTTTAGATAACCCGTGGAACGTGTGTGTATCGCGTGCGGCAGAGGTGAGTAGTTGTTTATCTTTTTTGTAAAATTTCACTGCAAAAAAATTATACTTCAGGTTGGCGAACATCTAGCAGAAGTCCTCTTATCACGTGCACATGGCGTGCGGCCTATATCGTTAATAGGGTTTTCTTTGGGAGCAAGAGTTTTATTTCATTGTTTAATGGCTATGAGTAAAAGGTCAGATTCTTTTGGTATGTTTTTCATTATTTTTATTAAGTTTTGAACATTTGGACGTTTAAGTTAGAGTACTTTGACTAAATACCAGGAGCTGTGTTTTAAAACCATGCCTTTCGTTTTGTAGGCTAGGCAATTGAAAGAAACGGTAGAATTTTTTAAAACCAACATCTCCAGCGTAACCCAATGGACAGCACTCCGTTCTTTATGCAATACAGCTTTTACCTGAAACCCTTTATTTTCGGAGTGGTTCACAGAACCCGTTAGTTATTCCTTTGCATTTCTGTCGTTTGTAGGAATAGTGGAAGATGTTGTGCTTTTGGGAGCACCTGTTACTGCTTCTGCAAAGCAATGGAGGCAAATGTGTTCTGTTGTTAGCGGTAGAATAATCAATGGTTATTGCGAAACAGATTGGCTTCTACGGTAATTTTAGCAGTTGATTAATAACATTTGCCACTAAATATTTAGGGAGATACTGTTTCATAACCAGATTTTCAGAATGACAATGGTAAAATAATATCTGAAGCCGTTTTTGTTAAAGCGCTCAGAATATTTTTCACTGTGCGGATTTCTTTGCAGCTTTCTATATCGCACAATGAGCGTACAAATCACGATCGCTGGCACAAGTGCTGTTGACAATCGGACGGAAAAGAAAATAGTGAATTTCAATCTCTCCCACATAGTAAGTCATTTTTTTCCTCCACCATTCTACCTAGGCACCACCTGTTAAACCTTTGTTTTGGCACAAATCTACACGTTTTTTTGTCAAATCCTTTCAAAGTAAAGTGTCACGATGTAACTTGCGTTTCAATTTAGATCAAAGGTCATCTTGATTACTCAAAAAAACTGACAGAAGTGCTTGAAGTCATAGGAGTAAAAACTAAAGAACGCCACCACGGAGAATGACTTTTAGTCTTGTGACGAACGAGTAGTCCTTTAATTTATTTTCTGAAGTGATAAGATGTTACCGATGAGTAAATTAAAACAGAGCGGACGGCGAAAGGTAATCTGTGCTTCGGAAGAGCATGCCTTTGGAAGAGATAAATAAATCATGCGGTATGCAGACTACAAGTATTAGGACCGGTGGTTTATAGCGGATTTGCTTTTCTAGATCTCTGTAAAAATCAATCGAGTTATAAACTCTGATGTTAGGGGTATTTCTTTATTATTATGCGAGCTAGTTTTGTTCAGGACCGAGTGTGTTGAACGTTTTATCTTTGTGATTCAGGACATCTACTTCAAATTAATAAGTTATTTCTTACTTTTACTTTGTTAACTTTTGATATTGTCAATGCTTTTAGGGGAGAGCACGTAGAAATGCGAGCCAAGAGTAGGCTCTGCAACTTTTATATATCTCTTTCTGCTCACTTATTGTTAAATGAACGGAAAAATTCATTAACTTCAATCATAGCTTCTGTATCTCATTTTTGTAGCATTTTCTTCCTGTATTACTACTTATATCTTTCATGTCCTCTGGTGATAACCAGTTCGTGCCTGTGGTCAGTCTTTGTTTCCCTTCATCTGTTTTACAATCTGTGTCTTCTAATTAATTCACTGTTAATTAGAAATGCGGTTAGTTGTAACACAAAATTTAATTTCTTTGAAATGATTTGGTTTAATTTTTAGGGCTTTTGCAAACAGCATTATTTGTTTTTAGTTCTTACCTTACATTGCCTATAAAAACTGGGAAGATGTACGTTAGCAATTTTTTGGCAGAGATTTTTGTGGCATTATTTGTATGATTGATGTTTTTGGAAAGATTTGCTCACTGTTTTTTGTTCTAGTCAAGGAAGTCTGTATCCTTAATTAAACATTATTTCCTCTTCACTTCTCTCGCTGCAGAAATTAGCTGCACGTATAACATTTTACAGTGGCCTAATGATGTTGAGGTTTGGAAAAGAATGTTCAAAGGAACAAGTATGATTTATGACCTACCGCTCGTGATATGCAAATTTAAGCCCAATTGGTTTGTTGTTGGAAGCACGAATAGAAGAGTAGTGTTTACTATTGGCGTGGTTGTTCGTGTATAGTCGTTTTCGTAGTCTCTACAAGCTGCTGCTGGGAAGAGGGCTTGGATTAGTTGGGCTTCAAAACTTAACTATCTCGCATATTATTTCTCATAGCAAAATTGACCTTGGAAAGATTATTTTTTTTTCAAAAGTAGCTTTTTTTTCTAAGTATAAACTTCAATGCCTCTTTCTGCTTTTATTTTCTGCACCCAGTGGTAAGTTGGAGTGTTTTTTACCGAGTTACAGTGACTTGTAAGCCGCGCAATTTTTCCTGTGAGACTTGGATCGCTTCTGTACAGGCAATTTCTAAATTGTTATTCTTTTTTAATGAGGAACTTTTGTTGGGTGGAGGTGTGAAATGTAGTTGCGGTTGCGTTGTGGGGAGTGTTTTCTTTATCTTTTAAGGAGAGATAAACAACTAAGTAAAGACTCTCCTTACTGTTTGGTGGTGGTTTAGTAGTTTGTTACATCGTGATTCGTAATTTTTGTTTCTGCAAACGGTTGCAGTAAGGCGGTTTCTTAATCATCTACAGCTGATGCATAATTTACCTTATATAATTTAAATTGCTCTGGTAAACAGAAGAGTCGTTTTGCTGCAGGCCAACGCAAAATTTAAGGTGTTAAGAATAAGGTAAATGGAAGTTTCTACAGTTTGAACTATTAATTGGTTAAAATTTTTCAGAGTCGTCATTTCTAACTGTAATTTTTATGTCCAAGACTCTCGTTTCAACAGAGACTACGTGCGCAGTACACTGGAAGAGGTATACTTTCTTATAGATTTTGCTTTTGCGATATTTTTTTTTTTTTTTTTTTTTTTTTTTTTTTTT